AATTTGTACATAACAAGGGGAATTCATGGCTGATTTACAGTTCTGCTTTCTCTAAGGCTTTAAGGTTGCAACTAAGAATTAATTTTATTATCAATTTATTAGTCAATTTATTTTCTTGATTAATTGTTTGTTGAATAAAATGTGGTGAAAGTGGTGAATTTTTTTATACAAACATATTCCAGCTGTATGTTTTGTCAACCAACTGTCCAAATGCCTAATATGTTTAGTTTCCTATCACATAAGACAAGAATAACGCTAAAATCCTCACATTAGATAAGCGGGAAATTTGATTAATGATTAATCAATTGTCAAAATATTGCACATTCATTTTCTACCAATCAATTACTTGTTGGTCCTCTACATCACTTTAATAATTAGACAGTACTGTGTTTATTTATTATTTTAGCGACATTGATTCATTGGTTTGGACTTAGTTTAAACCCCCTCGAAACCCAGTTTAGACTTTGATGTGAGCTGTACTTAAGCGTTCCAGACAGCAGCACTGAGGACGAATTGCAAACCCCTCTGACTCCAACCAACCAACAACCGACAGACAGCACAGGTATGTTTCTTTTAAAAACAGGTTGTTTAGGTGACTGGAGTTTTGCACCTCAGGCACGTTCCAGAGCTACAGCATCAGCTCAGAGGCAGTACAGGTAAACAGGGTGCCTTCGGTTATGCGGGGCAAGAGGACTCCTGGTACAATACACAACCGTCTTGAGTAGGGCAGACATGTCTATACAGATGCACGTAGGCTCATACAGACGGCTGCGCAGTTAAATGTTCTCTTATTGCAAAACAGACTGGCCTAACTGGATTTACCATACTACGTCTGCATGGTTGATTTCAGTAAATCGAAAGAGGTTTGGATTTGAAGAAAAGCTGTGGGAGTAAATCCACATGTATTCTTACAAATCAAAGAATCAGTTCAAGGAATAAAACATATGACATAAAAAGTCATAAAAATAAAAAAACAAATACTTACATTTTCATATAAACAGAGACAACTTTCTGTTTATATGAAAACACTTAAATACATCAGCCAGAGCAAAACCTGAGGACACATTTGAAGTCTGCATACCCACACAACTGTTCACAATTAAATGACCTGATTAGACCTCTTCTCATGGCTGTGTGTGTGTGTGTTTAAACTGTGATTGATTGACATCTCCCTGACTCATATCAACGGGGTTGCACCTGTTATTGCAGGGAAAACTTGCACACATTCTTGCAAGAACGGGCACTTTGGTGTACTCGTGTGATTCCCAGCATAGCTCCGCCCAGTGACAACCTGAGCAGAGGTCTAATCAGTGATAAGTGAAAGAATAACTGAAAACATGGTGTGCAGGGCGTTAACATGTACAGAAACAATAGAGGGCTATGTACTTACTTCTGGACACCCGCACCAGTTCCGTAACACTGAAGACTCCTGATTTGATGAAGCTGTCTTCCAAGTAGACTGTTGACACAGGGACACAAAGAAAATCATCATTACTGTCGTGCTTGTTATTTATTAAATACTTTTATCCCAGTTCAAATATAGACAGAATTAGAGTTTATTTGCACTCTATACCACACGTTTCTTTGAATGTGAAATCAATTAGATACAATTCACGATTCAGGGTTCACAATATGATTTCTTTTTTTAACAAAATGAGATTGAACACAAATTATGACTGAAAAAGATTCCTATTTCTCAGATAAAAATCTACAAAATGTATTTTCTCTCGTATTTGTTTTAAAGAAATTAAAGAATAATTTTGTATTTCTGCAGTAGGGTATAAACTGTGCAAAACAATTTATATTTCCTTTTCTCTGTAAAAGCAAAATTGAAAATATAAATGGCCTCGTATCTCTTGCCATGTCTTGTCTGTTATTACATTTTTAATTTTTCTGACTTAGGGGAGCCAAAAAGCTGCCACCAGTCTTCATCTTTGGGCCTTCATACAACTGCTGACGTGAGTGACGTAGGATATCAAACAACCAAAAACTATAATGTAAGAAAAAATTTAAAAAGAGCATTAATCAGTGCCTGTTTCCTTTTCTATCATGTATTTTTCACACTTGTCTTCCTGTAGACTGCTGACTTAAAAATTGGTGTACTATGAACCTTTGTTTTTAGTTGAAGCTTTAAAACAGCACCAACCCCTTCTGTGCAGTACAGTAAAGAGTGACAGGACAGGTGTGTGAGGAGGAGGGACAGACATGCACACTCTTGCTGCTGTGAGTACAACAAACAAGCCTGTGCTGAACCGCAGACACTGCCCAATTGATCAAATACACAAGTAAAACTTAATAACTGCCAATACTGACACTGTTATACTAAGATACAGCGATAAATGGCACATTAAAGAGTAATTTACAGTGGCATTGATACTAAAGACGATTCTGAAAATGTGAGATTGCTTCTCTCTTTCCAAAGTAAATAAACTGTTTTAAGGCTTGGAATTATGAAACTGGTTGTTACAGCAAAGCCAGATTTTTACTCCCGTGTTCAGGAAACTATTTTTAAACACAACAAATGATAGTTATAATGTATATTTTTTGGCAGTGTTGAAGCATTTGCTGCGTTCTGTATAACCTGCCCAGGACTCAACACTACTCAGAAGCTGTCAGTCAAGTAAAACAACCAGACAAGTTATTGACACCCAGATGACTCCGGCTCGGCTTTGATGCAGTGCCAAGGGCACTCAGGCCATGCCAGACAGATAGGCGGGTGGCTCGATTGGCACCTACAAAGCCTAATGTCTCCAGTGAGCCAACGGCTTTTGTGGGGGAACCGTGCCACTGCAGAGGGCCTCCAAGGCCTGAGTCATTGGCTCGCTAGCATGTTTTCCTTGGCACATGTATAGGCAGAACCTGCTCTTGAGGTAGAAAACTAATTATACTTCTCAAACTATTTTCATTCCAACATTGTGACGACACAGCGCAGGTCAGTCCAGGGGAACAACACACGCTGTCAGAGAACATTCTCTACAGCTCGGCTTTGCTTGCTCACCTTGACACACACTCAGCCACCAGCCAAAGGTGCAATCTGCCGTTACATTTCCGCTCCAGATCTTTAATGTCTGGCTCTGTTTTTTTTGGTACACTTTGTTTGATGTCGCCACCGGGATGATGACAATTCAAATTTAATGATCCAATCAAATTTTATTCTTCATCAGTCCATGCAATGTTGAAAACCGTGGCCTCGGTCAGTGGGAAAAAAAATACAAATTTTATTTACAGCTAGAGTGTCAGTTTGGTTGATCTCAATTGTACTGATGGTTGATTTTCATGCAGTTCAATTCACATTCTCATGTTTTTGTTGCCGTTGACACTGGATCACATGGGACAAAAGACATCACAGTTCCGTGGTATGCACCTCTGGCTGCTACAGTACATTTTGTTTGTTTTTTACAGAAGTCTTTGCAATTTTGCTTGCAAGTCACGGAGTTCACAGCAGATCAACACTGTTTAAACTAGGTAAGTTATGGCGTACATAGGCCACTGTACAGTGGAGCGAGCTGCTGAGGAACAATAGAGCGATGACAGGAGGGAGGAGGGAGGATGACCGCTGCTGTACATACCTGGAAGAGGGTTCTTGCCTGGCTCATTGTTACTGGGACTTCCTGACTGCTGCGAGTCTGCAAACACACAGAGAGATGGGAGTGGGGCTTAGCATAGCACGAGGACAACAACATACCATCTTACTGAGACAAGGTTGTCTGGTCAGTATTGATTATGTCCAGCAAATATAACCCGGTGACTTGGTGCAAACATTGCATCCTGTAACTTATAATTAAAAAAAAGGGTCAATCAGAACTTTTACTTTATTTATTGGCACTCTTATTTGAATTTTGTCTCACACCTTTGCCCTACCACAAACTCACTGAGCTTAAAATGAAGAAATAACTACTGTCAAGACTCAACAAGACAAAGTGCATTTCAAGACTTGCTGGGTGCCTAAATGTTTTTTCCTTATCTACCAGTCAAAGAGAGCACACCCGCTGTACATTAAACAAGACAGTTTTGTTTGAACAGCATTATCATTAATGGGCGGGCAACCTGAAGAAAAAAGCAGTGTCTGACACAGGATAGCCTAAAAGTTTTTTTACCAGCAGACCTCTGGCTAATTTTTCAAAGGGGGCTGGGGGAGTGCTAGGAGGGGATACAGAACGAGTTCGGTCCTACTGTGCGAGGTACTAGCACAGAACAAAACGTGGAGAGAAGACAGGAGGGGCGGGGAAAATACAAGGAAACATGTGTGGAATTCTTTCCACCAGCTACGGTGCACAGGCTTTGGTATGAGATGTCCCGGGCTGACGTCTTTTACCATGAAGCCTTGCTGGGAGGGAACCTATCATTCCTCAGCAGTTCTTGCTCTGGTTGATCACTGACAGGCACACGTGTCTTTTTGTGATGTTGTGAAACATGCAAATTAACTGTATAAATCACAGAACGTTCCATGTTAGAAAGAAACACAGCCGACTGAACATAGCGAGGCCTTGGGATCGCACGTGGAGCAGCACTGAACGGCTGCCATGCCAAACAGTGAACAGTGAGCATTTGAGTGGACCCCTATTATGACTCAAGCCCACACATGCCCTGAGACAGAGAGGGCCCAATGAGAACCAGCAGGGAGATTATTATCTACGTCTTTAACTACAAGAGAGACGAGACGCTAAAGACAGTGAACTCAGATACCCTCGGCTTGCAACAACACCCCTTTTCCTGCCGTAGCTCTCATGAGCTGTGTTACAGAGGCAACGGAGAGAGAAGGAAGGAGAGGGGGGTGGACGAGAAAGAAGAAAAAAAGTTGAAAGATTTATCCCTTTCTTGTTCTCTCTCTGTGTCCCTCTCCCTCTCTCTCTCTCTTTCTCGTCCCCCCTCTCCTAAATTTGACTATTAAACAGCACTGCAAAAACAGAATGTTCTTGGCTGAAGCTCAACAATGACAAAGTAGGGAGGGAACAGGACCATACGTTAAGAAGAAAAAAAATCCCCTCTTTCCAGTCTTCTTAGCCCTAAAAATGTGCAAGTAACGTTCAAGTTATGGTCTCACAATATACCTGTGTTCTGCTGCCTTAAATCGTAAAAACAAGTTGCCTTATGATTTCTAATCATGTCCTTCAGGTTTAAGGGATTTCTCACGTGCACACAACAGTTTTAAGATTTTAATCTTTAAAGCAGGTAGGGCTGTAACTAATGATTATTTTCATTGTTGATTCATTCATGAAATTCAAGCCTTTATTTATGCCTCAAGAAACACAAAGGTTTCCCTCATTTGCAATGATGTCGACAAACCGAGAAATATGCAGTTTAAAATTTCAAAAGAGGAAAATACTGTGTGGAAACAATTGCACACTGGGGTGAAGTGTGTGTTTAAAAACTGGCAGAAATCAATCAAATATGCTCATCACAATTTCCCAGAATCCAAGGTGACATTGTCAAATGGTTTGTTTTGTCAGATCAACAATCCAAAACCCAAAATATATTAAAATGACAATGATATAAACAGACAACAGCTGCAAATCTTCACATTTGAGAAGCTGGAGGAACCAAATGATTAGCATTTGTCTTTGATAAACCACTTAACCAATTATTAAAATTATTGTAGATTAAGGTTCTGTTAATTATTTCAATACTACAATCTGTCTTCCATTTCAAGTTGTACACAAGTTGTTGGCCTCAGCAAACTGCAAGAATCATTTGCCTTGGCTTGCACCAATAAGCAGTGAGTCTCTAAAGTTGCCCACTACACACACACACACACACGCACACGCATACATATTCACACACACTGTGAAGCAGCCTTTGTGGGCAAGCGGAGGTTTGTGTGGATTTGGCACAGCACACGTCCATAAAGTGATTGCAGGGAGCTCAGTGGCCTTGTCTCCCTGTCTTCTCCCACCCCCCATGCCACTTTCAGAGTCATCCATCAGTCTAGTTACAACTGCCAACTCCACGCTCGCGCCCTGAGAACTGCTGAGAGGGAAAGAAACGGGCAAGGGGGAGAGAAAGGAGCACCAGAGAGTAGCGAGGAGGAAAGCGCTGAAAGGGTGGTGAGGGGAGAAAAGGAGCAAGGAGGTGGAGGCGGGAGAGGTGCGCCGGTTCGTTTAGATCGGATCAGAGTTTTGTGTTTTTGTTTTTTCTTTCCCTTCTTCGAGGGCTGAACAGGCAACCATGACAAAAAGAGCAGATGGTGGTGGCAATTAGAGATCCCAGGCAGCATCTTCCAGCATGAGGCCCCACTGTAGCACCAGGAGAGACCACCTGGATGACTCAAGGTGGGATGCAAGCATATGGCGCATCTGCCAGGCCTGCACCGGAGCTGGAAACACCTCCCCTGTTGCATTACATTTTACCTTTGACCCAAGAAGGGCAGCTTCATGCTCCTTCGTCTTCTTTCAGGGTGATTATATTGTTTAGAACAGTGCTTGCACATTTGTCAGGCCGTGAGTGTGCTGATTATATCTACTGAACATCACTTTTCGTCCCTCAACAGGTATTTAAATGAAGCAGTAATTTTAAATTACAGGAGATAATTCTGCATTACAAAGTGCAAATAAATTGGCTGTGTTTTTTTTTTTTTTTAAAAGGCAGCTGAAATAAAGTAAAAGAGTTCTGGTATCTGTATCTAAAAGGTGTCCTGTGCAGAAGCCCAGCCAATCCGATAGTCTTCAAATAAACAGTAGTGTAACCTGTAAATAAACAGTTGTGGTCGAGGAGGCTGGGCTTTGCCCTGGGAGCTTGGCAGGGCTCGATCACAGGGCCAGACACCACACACACGCCCTCTAACACACACATACACACAAACACGCACGTACACACACGGCCCTTTTCCAAAAACAACATTTCTTGGCACCCTCCATCCCGGCCACTTGTTTAAATAAACAAACCGGTTCATGAAGGAAGTGAAAAAACAGTACCGCGTATGAATCAGATTATCTGCTGTTACTCAGCAAAAAAAAAAAAAAAGCAAGGGAAAAAAGTAGCAGAGGGGGCTTGTGGGTATTTTGGATGTGTCCACGAGTTCTTACACCTTCTTGTCCGGTGGGATACTTATCATACCACTGTAACGATTAGGGCAATTAGGGGTAATGGCAACAGAAATCTGGCTCTGAAAGAAAGTTTCTCAGTGCTTGTGAGGTTTCTCCACGCCCAAGTGTGTTACTCGCCTGGATTTTATAATCACTAAAACACTTTCCCTAACCCACCCTCTCAATTTTTGGCATGATACCCACTGTTCCCACTAAATCGTGGAACACACATGCACATACGCACACAGTGTAGATTAAATTAGCCACATAGTTTGGGAAACTTTCTCTCCCTTTTTTTTTTTTGACAATGGCGGTGCACGTTCTTAGCCCGTAAACACTTGCAGACACGTACAGATATCCTCCACAAAAAAACAGTGCGCACGCGCGACACGCACACCCTGCAGATGCATACCGCTGTCGACATTTCAGGAGGAGAAGCCTGTCTGGCAGCCATTTTATGCCGAGCGGGGTTCTGTGCACATGTATAGCACTCTGGCTGCCAGAGGCATGGGTCCCGAGCCAAGACGCATTTCAGCAGCCTGGGGAGGCGAGGGGAGGGGAGTGTGGAGGAGAGGTGGAGAGGGGTGGACTCCCGGAGAAGTAGGGAAACAGAGAGAGGGAGAGGGGCAGAAAATATCGACCTAATTACGGAGCAGCTCCGATGTGTAATGTTTCGACAATACAGCTGCTCCTGAGTAAATATTTGATGTGGTCGAGAAGACTTTCTGCTCAGTGTCCTCCTGCTTTTCTTTCCTATACCGCTGCAGGACACCTCCAGTTTGTCCTTCCTTGGAAATGCACAGCCGAAATATGTGTGGCGTGGGGTCATGCAAGTCTTGACAGTATGCATAAATGACTGTACATGTGCCGGTATGGAATGTGTGTGTGTGTGTGTGTGTGTGTGTACAATGTCCCGTGTCCTCCTCTGCTCCTGGTTTCTATCATTCACAGCTTCGTCGATGACCTCACACTACTTGGGCTGGCTTCCAACAGCCGGCAGAACCTGCTCTCTTCTCCAAATCTTCCTTTCTTCTCCTCGCTATCTGTCTATCGCTGTCCCTGTGCCTGCAACACTATCCATCCTCTATTGTATCTCTTCATACCCGTCTCTGTGTATATCTACCATTCAGTGTGTATCCGTGAAGATATCTTATCCGATGATAAGTGCACACTATAACTTTTTTCAAATTTCTTGATTTTTTTCCTCCTCATTTTTTAACACTTGTCTCTTTCTTTCTTTTAATGTCTCCATCTGTGTTGGCACTATCCCCCCTTTGCCGCCTTTTTTTTTTAATGCCCCTCTCTCCTTCTCTTTCTATCTCTTTGTCTCTCTATCTCTCTCTTCTCTCCCTCCCTCACGCTTTGTTGTCTAAACAAAGTGGCCTTTATCAGGATGAGCCGCAACCCAAACAAGCCAAACAAAAGATATGGGCGAGGAAATCTGCCCGCAAAAGAGGGAGGATCTTATCGTGCCAGCCATTGTGTGCCAGCCTGCCAACTGGCGATGCCCCCCGCCACCGACCCCTCCCCGCACACACACAGACACACGCACACACAAAATTTGGGCATCTCAGCCTCCCCCCCACCTGGACTCATGCATGGGG